TTGGTTTTTCGGCCCCCGCGGCCCACACAGAAGGGCTTGGCGGGCCGCATTTGGCCCCCGGGCCTTGAGTTTGACAAGGTCCTGGAGAATAAACCAAGATGTAGCTTAACATTAGTTTAAAGAACTTGTATGCCTACGAAATTTTTTTATTTTTTTTAATTTTAACAAAAGATGACTAGCTGAAAAACAACAACTTGCTAATCTAGCCATAAGTAGCAGAGGAACCACGGCGTCAAGCTAACACTTTCACACAATGTCGATTATACATTTGTTCCAGGTTGAACGGATCGACGGCGTTCTGTCCTACAGAGACCCTCATTTCTGGAGACACTCGGCCAGTGTTATCGCAGGAACCATTCACCTGCAGGTGATGACAGACGTAGTCGAGCAGAGGATCGTGCAGCAGGTCTGTACCCACAGCGGCAGGAAAACCAGATCTTTCTTCTCAACTCGTGTCTTCACACTGTGTCCTGCCCCATATCACCCATAGGTGACCACCATTCTAAAAGACGCTGGAGTGAACAATCTATCAGTGCAAGTGGAGAAGGAGGCCTACTTCCAGCACATGTCTGGACTCAGCACCGGTTTTCACGAAGTCCTGGCCATGACGCAGCAGATGGAATCCATGAAATGCCTGAATGACGGGACGTGCATCATGTGATGCTCCACGTTGTATGTGGGACCAAAAGAAATCTTTAGTGTTTTTTTTTTCCTTCTAAAATGTACAGTGTAATTATGTGATTTAAATAAATCTGAATATATTGGTTTTACAAATGAGGGAGGAACCGGTTGTTTTCAAAATAATTTCTTTCTGTGGTTTTACAGCGCATCTGGGTTGGATCTCAAAACAAAAAAAATTTAAAATGCCAAAAATTAGCCAGGGTTAAAGGGAAAAGGTTGGCTAAGAGTAAGTGGTATAGACTCGAAGCACAAGTTTGCCCGAACATGTTTGCACACGATAAATGTAACGAGCAAAATCAATTAAAAATAAACATGTTACCTTTGAGAAAAAAAGTGGTTTCAAGTAAACACTGGAGAGATATCGATTAAAAAAAGAGCAGCTGTGTTCAGATGAAAATAAAGAATGTTACCGTATTTCTGGACTACAAGTCGCACTAGCCAAAAAAAATGTATAATGTAGAAGAAAAAAAGCATATACGTAAGTCGCTCCGGAGTATAAGTTGCACCAGCCAGCAGCAATAACATGTACATTTTCAGTGGTACAGGAATAGCTAATACAGGGAGTGTAGAATGATTAGGCAAATTAGTATTTTGACCACATCATTGTCTTACTCCAAGCTGTATAGGCTCGAAAGCCCACTACCAATGAAGCATATCAGGTGATGTGCATCTCTGTAATGAGAAGGGGTGTGGTCTAATGACATCAACACCCTATATCAGGTGTGCATAATTATTAGGCAACTTCCTTTCCTTTGGCAAAATGGGTCAGAAGAGGGACTTGACAGGCTCAGAAAAGTCAAAAATAGTGAGATATCTTGCAGAGGGATGCAGCACTCTTAAAATTGCCAAGCTTCTGAAGCGTGACCATCGAACAATGAAGCGTTTCATTCAAAATAGTCAACAGGGTCGCAAGAAGCGTGTGGAAAAACCGAGGTGCAAAATAACTGCCCATGAACTGAGAAAAGTCAAGAGAGCAGCTGCCAAGAGCTGCAACATCG